TGCTACTGACCCGCTCCTTATGGGTGGGAAGCCACCATCCATCTTCAGGCTGGAGCAGACTGAGGGGGTAATGCAGAGCCTGGTCTGCCCCACCGCCGCCGAGGGGGGGATGCTGTTGGCTGTACCATTCCAAATGGGAGAAGCGTGTTAAATCATGTGCATCTCGCCTCTCTCGGGCCCTGCACATGGGATGTCCTTATCTCATACAGGTAGCTGTGGCATGGTCCAAAACACTGTGGTTCAGGGGTTGCACAGAGTGGGTTTTTTAAAAAATGGAAAACGTGTCTAGGTGCTGCTGCCGTCTGCTCCTCATGGCTTGTTCCCCCTCCAGGTGGTTATCTGTAATCGTTGGAGTCTGTCCAGGTTCTGTATTCACTCACTCTGCTTCTGGTTGGTTGACTGTACTGTAACAAGTGACATATTAACCTCAATACTCTGCCATACTTCTGTACGTGTTCAATACGACAATGCGGAGCGGAGCCTTTTAGCTGTTAATGCCTTGGAGACATTATTTTGTTTTATCAAAGCGCACGTACGCGCGCACACACACACACACAACCCCCGCCCCCTCTGTAAATGTAGCCAACTGTTTGCGATGCTATGTCCTCTGTGCATCTCTTCTCCCAGACTTTGGATTCGTCAGTAGCTCGCTTTCTTTTGCAATCAACGTTAGGCTCTTACAGGAGAGGGTTGCTACACCTAATGTTAAATGCCTCACTGAGTGTTTAGTTTTAATTTCCAGTTCCTATAATAATAGAGAAGAGTGGGTTTTTTGGAAAACAGTTTCATCTCTGATGTGGATTGGGTGGAGTGACTTTTTTTTTTAATTCTAGGGGTAACGTTTCAAAGCGTAGTTTACATCTTCACTTTCTGAAGACACTTGAACATAGGACCGATGTATCTGTGACCAGCACACCCTATTGTTGGAAGCTCTCTGAGCGGGAAAGGGCATGGGCTTAACCCTATCCATTTTGGTTTTTATAGACACTTTCATGTCAAAAGTCAGATGTATTTCTGCTAACACCCCAATCTCTCCACTTTATTCCTCAGTGGTACGTTCCTTCCCACTTTTCTCATCACTTCCAGAGCACCAGTTGGATAGAACAGGTTGGCTTGTACCAATGATATCCTTGGGAGGGGGAGGGCCTGGTATCATTTCATTGGAGTCTTCCTGGCATAGTGTGGTGTGCCTCTGGAAAGGGCGGCTGAACCCTCCCCCTTTTTCAACCCCAGCCTTGGTTGGTCCCTGAGGAATGTGCTCCCATTGGCCCATGGAACTCTTGACTTGGAAATGGACACAGCTTTAACTGGACGTGGTTGGAGCAGGGAGGGTTTTTCAGTGTCGGGTCTCGCTCCGAGCTGCTCAAAGCTGTGGATAACCTGCCTTTCAATAGAGCCAGTGTTTCTTGTCTAGCTGCCCAATTGCTCAGCCAGCACAAAAGAGGGTATTAGTTTGATCGGGCTGCCCTTCCCAACTGGGCTCTGTGTCTGTCCCAACCTCCTCCCTCTACTCCCTGACAAAGTGTTTCTTGCAACCTTCTTCAGCTGCGTTTTTAATGTAGAGACAAATTTCCAATGGCTTATCAGACCACTCATCACTGGGGAGGAAAATCTTGTTAATCCGACCCGCTGTATGTGATCCATCTTCTGTTGATAGTACATCATCTTGACTCGTGTGCTAGGATCATCATCCCGTTTAAAAGGAAAAGAGGAAAAACAACCACGACAAAAAAAATGTAAAATACTTGAATGAGAGCTTGTATTATAACATTAATATTATTCAGAGTATCTGCTTTCTAGGCTGATGTGATTCATTATTCTAGTACTGCTTAGTCCTTTGTAATTTGTGGTAATTATGCTTTTTCCTTTTTAATACAAAAAAAATGTATAAAAATAAAAACCTCAAAAGACAGTGTGGTACGGCCTCTCTCCTGCCCCCGCAACCTCCCTTGCTCCCCGAGCAGACACTTCCCATGTGGAACAAATCCTTGTAAAGGTAAGAGTGCGGCATTTGATGAGTACACTGCCGCGAGGCACTATGCGAGCTCTGCAGAAGAGCTCTGGTAATAGACCTGCTTAGTCTCAATCCAGTTCTCTTTGTTTCTGGTGTAGGCTCCTCTACCGCTCTACCAGCACCCCTCAGGCCTGGCTTTCAGCACTCCCCACTCCTGAAACAATCTACTGAGCAAATATGAGGTAAGAGTGCGGCATTTGATGAGTACACTGCCGCGAGGCACTATGCGAGCTCTGCAGAAGAGCTCTGGTAATAGACCTGCTTAGTCTCAATCCAGTTCTCTTTGTTTCTGGTGTAGGCTCCTCTACCGCTCTACCAGCACCCCTCAGGCCTGGCTTTCAGCACTCCCCACTCCTGAAACAATCTACTGAGCAAATATGCGCAATCAAAGCAATGCTGGGGGAGCTCTCCTTTAAAGCAGTGTTTCTTAAACTGTTCTGTGACAAAATGACCACCTTGTTTTTTGTTTTTGCTCAATAACTTCCCTGGCCTCTTCTCTCTCTCTTCCCCTCTCCCACCTCCTTTTCCCAGTCTCCCCGAGTTTTGAAAAAACCTTGGTGTTCCCCATTTAAAAAAAAAAAAAAAAAAGTTTGGTGTTCCTGGGTCTTAAATTTAAGAAACGCTGCCTTAAAGTCTTTCTCCAGGCATATAACTGTGCAACCATGGGGGTGCCCTGGGCCTACTTTGAGGTGATTCGCAGTGGGATGGAGTGAGCAGTCCATTCTGGAAAGGTCCCTCAGTGGCTTGCATGCTGGTTTCATCCTCCTCGTTACTTGTTGAAACAAGCCTGCCCAGTGCTCAGCACTGTACCGCATGGGGGGGCTTTGGCCTGTCCCTCGCAGGTGGTCAGTTAAGGTTTGACACATGGAGCCCTTATGTCCTAGGTATGGAAAGTAACTACTGTGGGCGGTTGAGCTCCCAGGGCGGGTGGTGCTGGTGAAGTGGTGATGAAGGCCATATTGCCTCACAAGCATGTTTCCATGTGGTGTTCGGATCGACTCACCCAGGCCCAGCGTGCTGGGATGAGATGGGGCCAGGCTGCATCAAAGCAGCGCTGTGCTCCTGAATCCCCCGTGACTTCCCATGCAGTGCAGGGGAGATGCAGCTCTGGGCTGAAAAGGCCTGTGAAAGCAGCAGCTTTCTAAAAACCAAGAGTGCAGGGAAGGGAGATCTGAACAGCCATTGCTGTGGGGCTGGGATGGAGCCTGCGGGGGGCAGCTGGATCCAGGGAACTAAACACCCCTGTGCTCCCAGAGGCTGCCCGGCTCAGGGGCGGCTGCCTGGAGCTAAGCGCTGCATGCCAGGCTGCTGGGAACCAAAGGGAAGCAAGCGCAAATCTCTGGCAATGGATCCCAGTTCCATGTTGTCTTTGTTACTTAGAACAATAACCTGCTTCTCATTAGAAAATTATTTGGCATAATCATGGGTGCTAGCTCTCGTGATCACCGGGCGGGGGGGAGGCGGGTCACTTGGCTTTTTTGGGCCCGTCGGGAATGCTCTCCGTGAGAGGCGTGAGGCTCAGCAGGACTTGGTGCCTCTCGTAGGCTTTGGTTTGCTTGAAGAGCGTGTCCGTCCCGTGCAGGCGGTCCAGCACCCCCAGGACTCCGTAGCACTGGTTGAACCTGGCAGCCAAGCAGAAAGGGAACACGTCGGGGACTGCAGGTTACCGGCAAGAAGCAAGGTAGACCTTGCGGCTCTCTTCCCTTTCACCCTACCCCGCTGCAATCCTGCGTGTCTTGATCAGAGCCCTGGCCTACAGCAAGGAAAGTGAAACAGGATTGCATCTCTCCCAGCCTTTGCTTTGCAGCCTAGAGAGGTCTGGATGGGTTTCCAGGACCTGCCCATTCTGCTACGTGGTCATCTAGGAAAGGTGTTGAGCTGAGCTGTTCTCCATCCCCAGGCACGGCGGGCTGCCTGTGCCCCCTTCCCTAGCCAGGGAGTGGGAAAGGGGAAGTCGCAACCAGCCAGCCTGTACCTCTCTGGCCAAGGAAGCTCTGAGCTGGCCCTACAGCATTGCTCAAGGCCATATGCTCTGCTGTCCCTGCTGAGCTGCGCTGCCATTCTGCTTGGGCAGTGTCAGAGGGGAATGGCGCACGCTGGCTGGAACGCCAGGTATCAGCCCAGGAATTGCAGGAACGGGGAAGCAGCACTCAGGGAGCGATGCTGGCTCTGGAGCCAGGACCTCCCTTGGGACTCTCCCTGCAGGCTTGTCGCTGCCTTGCTGTGCCAATGTGTGTGCTGCACTTAACCCGTGTAAGAAGGTGCTAGCACTGCCTGTCCACTGGCTCCCTGGATCAGGCTCTCTAGCCAGGGGCATGTCTGTTTCCCATTGCGCCTTTGGACAGAGAAGGAATTAAGCAGCCAGCAAGATTGTCCTTGATGTCCTAGATCCCTGCGAGGGTTCTCTGGACCCTGCACACTATTTCCTGTCTCATCGGCTCAAGAAAGAGGAGCTCAGGTTTGGTTTTCTGCTCTGTAGCCAGTTTCCTAGCTCAGCGGCTGGTGAAAGAGAGAGGAGGAGGCCAGCGATTTGGCTGAAGGTTGCACAGAGCCAGGAAAGCAGGAACTGCCTGAGGCCCAGTCCTCTGCTCTGACCTCTGAGCTTCCCGTTTCCAAAGGCTGAAAGGGCTAGGCCCGCAGCTGCCTGCAGGTGAACCGGACTGAGGTGGAGCAGAGATTGACTGGGAGGCACATGACACTGTTGGGCCCTCACAAATGGGCAAAGTCCTGTCTCCGCATTGATGGGGTGAGCCAGTCTACGTAGCGTACAGTGATCTTACTTGAGGTGGTGGAAGTCGTGGAATTCCGGGGACGGGAGGAAGGGCAGGTGGTAGCCGCAGTGGGAGATGGACGTAGCCAGAATCGCAAGGCAGAGCCACACCATGATGGAAGCAACATGGGATCCCAGGATTATCGGACCCACCAGTAAAGGCAACATGTTGGAAAACTGGAATTGAGACACAGGCCCCGCCTCATTAGCATGCACACACACCGCCCGTTCCTAAGGCTGCAAGTGCAAAGAGCCACAGGACCCTTCTATGAGAGCAGCTTTTTGGGGATACCTGAGCCCCAGCTTCATGTCCCACCAGGAAGGGTCTGACTGCGGCGACTAGCCTCCCTTCCCACGTTTCTTCACCCAGCGGAAATGCAAAGGCCGGAATAGGGGACCAGGTTTACATGAGAGGCTGCTGGGCAGTTACCCCAAGAGAGCCCCAAGCTTACCACGTGCTCTACCGGATGAGCGTAGAGGGAGACCACACCAACAGGGGCTGTCCATTCATGGTGCTTCTTGTGTATGCGCTTATACAGAAGTGGGTGGTGAACGAGCCTGCAGAGAGAACCAGAATCAAGTTTGTCCAATCAACCCCGAGAGCAGCGTCCCTGGGTGCACCCTCAATACTGCGAGGACGTTAGAGCAGTAGCGTGGCCTAGTGAATTAGACAGAGTGAGATGTCAGGACTCAGACATCAAGGCAGAACCAGGACGTAGGGTCCTTGAACAATTCCCTTGGCTCATGTGGATTCCCACAATTGCTTCGTTGGCTGTTGAACTGCCTTTTTGTGAGGTGGTGTGTTTTACTTTGCATCCGGTTTTGGGCTTCGTGGTAGCACTGACAAGGCCGGGAGAGCTGGGAGTGGGGCCCCATTGTGCCAGTGCTGTACACCTGTATAGGAGATCATGAGCTTTGCTCAGGGAGCCCACAATCCTTGGTTTCCATGTACACCATACACTCTGTAGATTCTCTTTGGCAGGGTAGAGTTCCTCCTCTCCCCAAAGTGCTTTAAACTATAGCTTCCATATAAAATCAACGTTTTTCCTCCCTGAGCCTGTGGGCCAGTCCATCTCAACCCTCACTGCCATAATCTCTGGGTAACCGTGGCCCCTAGCTGCGTTCCATCACCAAGAACTCCTGAAGGAACAGGGCCACGGGTCTGGCCAAGGTCAGTGGAGGTGTTTTCTTGGGAGCAAGGTCCTAATTCAGGACAGAACTGCTCACGTTTCCTACAGTGCTTCAAGGAGGAAGCAGCTGCCCCAGGACAGACTGGATTCTCGGATCAGGCCTCCTGCCCAGCTCACCGGTGTGAATAGTAGAAGAGGATCTCCTCCAGCAGGACACAAATGGACAGCTCCAGGAGGAACCAATGGAAGGTGGGTAGTTCCTTGCTGCAGGGCTGTCCCCGCCACTTCATGATAGGGAGCATGAGCATCACCATGGGGAGAGAGATGAAAGCCTGATTCAACAGCACCGTGTGAACAGCCTGCCGCAGCTTCACCCTGTCCACCTGCAAGACAGGAGACCCGGCTAAGGCTAATGTGGAATGACGCGTCTCTGGGCTGCAGGGGGACCTGTCCAGGACTCAGACCTTTGACACTGGCAAGGAGGCAAATGCACAAGAAGCTGATCCCCTAAAGTTCAGCACCCTCCTTCCCTGGGTCAATGGCAACCTAGTGCACTCGGCTGTGGGCAAAGCCTCGGACCTGCACGGAGAGCAGAGGCAGGTACTGAAAGTGAGGTTCTGGCAGCCGGGTACGGCCCCAGGCCGGCCTACAAGCGCCACGGCGGGGAAAGAGACGTGTACACAGCTGCCGTGCGTACAGCTCAGTGCAGCCGTGCTCATCTACGGCAGCGCTGCTACTTAAAGGCTGTGTCTTCGCTGCAGAAAAGGCGGGTGGGTTATAGCGAGTCAGGGATCTTGCCTTTTGCAGCAGCAGATGCTGACTCGCTTGCTGGCAGCCCCCGCCTCTGGGTGTGTGGCTCCACCTGGCTTTGAGGAGGAGCAAGGAAAAAAGCCAGGTGCTCTTCTCAGAACTGACAAGCCACTGAATTCTCTTTTCCTCTTCTCCTCTCCCCCCCCCCCCCCAGCTTTCCTTGTGCCTTGCTGATCGTGCTTGCTCTGCTGCCACATACAGTTGAATGATTGTGACCAACATTTTCTGTTCTATAACCTTAATTTTTATGACTGGCTAGCAGCTAGTGGCACAGGAATGTCTCGGCCTCCCTGCACGCAAGCTCTAACCTTCTTTAACCTACAGCCTCTAGGAAAGGGGGAGGGACTGTTCCCTGCCTCTGCAAGTGACTTCTGACTTATTTCCCTCTGCTGTGCTGATCATTATGGCTGGGGGGGCGTGACCAGTGAGTTATGCAACCCCGTGCCTGTGAAGTACGTTAGAGCAGCAGTTCTCAACCGGGGCTATGCAGAGATCTTCCAGGGCTACCTCCGCTCACCTAGGTCATTGCCTCGTTTTACAACAGGCGCCATAAAAAGCACTAGCCACGTGAATACAAAACATTTCAAACCGCTAAAATGAGACACAGCAATCTTTCTGCACTAGGGCCCAGTGGTGGTTTTTTGTGTCTGATTTTGTAAGCAAGTAGTCTTGGGGGGAGGTGAAACTTGAGGGTACATAGGAAACCTGACTTCGGAAAGGGGTACAGTCGTCTGGAAGGATGGAGACCCACGGCTGTGCTGCCTAATTGCATGTCAGCAATTGACATGACATGGAAAGAACTCTTTAGCCCATGCGATTATGAAGAAACCTTCCAAATGTGATAGGAATTGCAGCCAGCTGCTAGCTGCCCAGATGGGGGGGGGGGAAGTGCCCCAAGAAATGGTCCTTGTCCCATTTACAAAGCTGGGGTGTTAAGGCTGAAGTCTGACAACATGAGCTTTAAGTTGTTCCACTGAGCATTGTGTATAGTGGGGCAACTGCTACCTCCCAAGGTAGGGAGAAAAGAGTCATTTAGCCAGGGTCTGTGCTTCCCATTTATACAACAGGCTGGGGTTTGGGGGGTATCTATGTACCCTAGCCATGTGGACAACTCCTGTGGAGTAGATCTTGCTGCTGTTGTGGGGAAAGGTCGTGCTGGCAAGCTCCTGTCCGTGCAGGCTGTGTGTCTATCGGGCTAGGCTAACAGATTAGTGTAGACGTAGCTGTGGGTTGTCTCCTGCATGGAGACCACAGCAGCAGAACAGATGAATATGCACCCTGTGTTGCGGAAAGGAGTTTTTCTATGGGTGTAGGAATGCAGCCTTTCCATGCAACACGCTCTGTGGGCAGTGGGGGCTAGGATCTATGGGGGGGTCTCTATACCTCCAACAGCAGCTATGCTGCCTTCCCAGGCCTCAGAACTGTCGCTATGCAACCCTGCTCTGTATTGTCCAGCTAGCTGAAATGCTTGGTCTCCCTAGGTACCGGTTCCCAGGGAGGGGGATTACCTTCATCACCAAGAAAGCCGCTTCCTATGTGAGAGGAAACTCTCTACCTCGGCTCATGCTTCTGCCTCTTGGCCACAGCCTGGTCCTATAGCTTGTGGTTCAAGCATGCGCATGGGAATGCAGCCAGCCGGCCTACAGTCCTGCTGTGCCCCTGACTTCTACAGCAGCAGGTGCTTATGTCTGAGCAGGGCTGGGTCTTAGTAAGCCCCACGGCCCTTGCTGCCATCTCCCATTGGCTAACTCAGCTTTTGTGATGGCAGTCTGAGGTGCCTCTCTTCCCCAGGCTGGGAGCAATCTAACCTAGGCTTGATGACTTGCAGCGATTTCTCTTGCCCTGTCGTTATTGACACCCAATTCCTACCTGCTTGGGGATACTCAGGCCTAACTGACATGCCCAAAGGGCTGGGAACTGACTGCAGCCAGCCTGAGTCCCAAGCCTTGCCCTAACCACTGCACCACCCAGCCCTGTGCACTTTCATGCCATGTCGAATTCATGGCTTGATTCTACTTTGCCAGCCCCCAGCATGGAAGACCGTGAGGCTGTGGGGAAAGGAGACTGAGTGCTCTGCTCTTCCCCCTCTTATGCTCAGAGAAGGCAGGCCCTATTCAGCCAGTGCCGAGGCACAGTGAGAAATACCTACAGGGTCGTTTTTGCCCAACTGAATGCGGTAGCGGGTAATGAAACTGGGCTTTCCAGTCACATCTGCAACCATCAGGAGTCCATTGAAGCTCCAGTAAACCAGGCTTGGAACCAAGGCGGTGCCTGTGCCAGGAGAGAGAAGGGCAGAGGCTGTTACGTAAAGGGGAGCCTGTGCAGATCAGAAATAACAACACTTAGGGATGTTAAAATGTGTTTAATCACGTAAACGTGTGACACCGGTTATATGGTTACATGCCAGGAGCCAGTGTGCTGGGGAGCTGGCTTTTAAGCTGCTTCCCACTGGTCGCCCCCCCTCCCCCCCCCCCCCCGCCCCCAAGTGCACAGCTTAGAGGAAATGCAGATGCCCAGAGGACACTACTAGAGGTCGGGGCCCTGTTCAGCTGGGCACTCGTTGGCCCTGAGGCGCTTACACGCCGAGGCACAGCTACTGACCAGGGATGGGATTACTAGAATACACACATGCTCTCTAGAAGAGACACTTTGCCCTCCATCACCAGGCTGTAGCCAGCCACACAAAGAAAACTGGCTGCAATGCTGTTACCCCTACTGCTAGAATATGACTCAGGTGTGTAGCTTGACAAGCAAGCCAGCTCTGTCCCTATGGCAAGAACTACTCCCTAGCTTGCATGCAAGTAGCCCAGTGAGGGAGGTGGAAACCTGGATGAGTTGGTGGTTACAAATGCTTGCCGGGGGGGGGGGGAACGTTGGCTGGCCCCTAACCCGGGGGAAGGCATAGCAGGAATTCGGGGGAC